ACCTTCTTGCAGACACTCATTTTCTTCAATACTACACTAGATTGTTATAAATTCTGTACTTCTGGGCCATTCTCGACAACCAACAAACTTCTTCTGTCTCTTGGTTGAATTCATGAACCTCAACTCATTAAGGGAATGAGGTCTCAGCATTAGCTGGGATTTTGCTAAGTGGAGAGCCTAAGAGCTAATGTCTGATACTGCTACAGCCAAACAAAATTTGGGACATGAAGTTGATTCTGTGGGTTGTGCATAGGAAAAACTGGGCATAGTTAGGAGTGATGAGTTTGCAATGTGGCTTTCTGCAGTTTTCTCTGATAAGAATTATCTTATGGTGAATTGTTCCTTTTCCCTTGTTTCAGTTGTTATTTTTGTTACGTTATCTGGTGCATTTCTTGTTTTGAGGTGGTAAGAGGGAGTTAAACCTAACAGCAACTTCTTACTCTATTATCTTGTTGGAAGTCCTCATACAGAAGAACTAGTTCTAGAGTACAAGATTTACAGACTGTAAACTCTTTAAAATTGTCTGCTGCAAACATTATGTTCATCTCCATTGAGAGAAGGAGCTTCTACACATGAGTTCCCTACCCCAATGAAATCACAGGTCTGGATCAAAAATGTAAATGTTATTGTAAATTAATTAGATACAAATTCATTCAAAAGTATTACTAAATTTATTGAAACATTTTGGCCAAAACAGACATGAAAGTAAATGGCAAATATAGGGAATGTGACAATGCAAAAAAAAAAAGATAAATAAATAAAGAAAAAAAAAGGAGTGATTTTATAGATAACATTAAGTAAAAGTTTGCTCTCTTTTCATATAGCCCTTCCTTAGGGTATGATTAACCTATTCTATAATATTTGTAATGTTGCCAATCTGTTAAATTTGCAATTCTTCTCAGAAGCTCAAATAGAAATCTTTATTCAGAAGGAAAAATGACAGCGGAGGCTTTGCCTTTGCTAAAGGGGTATTCCAGGCTGTACCAGAAATAAGAGACTGGCTGTGTTCTAAAGCCTCAAATCCAGGGAATTACAGACTTCATGGCTCTTACCAGAATAATGGACAATAAAGCAAAACTAACATGGAATCACAACAGGAATTTATTAATTTAAAAAATGGCTGAGAAGTAGAGGGATAAAAATAAAGGGCAAATAAGAAAAAGTCTATATGCATACTTACTTTGAAATATTTTTCTTTTCCACTGATCTAAAAAACTATGGTACTGTTTGATTTATGTTCAACAAGGTGAATCAATTTTGTGTTCTGCTATTAAGCACTTAACACAGAGCACAGAACACAGTAAGAATTTAATAAATTATTATTATTTTTTTTTTTGGTGAGGCAACTGGGGTTAAGTGACTTGCCCAGAGTCACACTGCTAGTGAGTGTTATGTGTCTGAGGGCAGGTTTGAACTCAGGTCCTTCTGACTTTAGGGCTGGTGCTCTATCCACTGTGCCACCTAGTTGCCTCATTTTTTTTTAAACCATGTTTACTTCTTTTCTTTTTTCCTTTTTTCTCTTTTTTATTTCTCTTTTCTTTTCTTTTTTCCTTTTTTAAATTTTGAAGGCAGTGGGGGTTAAGTGATTTTCCCAGGGTCACACAGCTAGCTAGTAAGTGTCTGAGGTCACATTTGAACTCAGGTCCTCCTGACTCCAGGGCCTGTGCTTTATCTACTGAGCCATCTAGCTGCCCCAATAAATTCTTGTAGAAATATAACAATAATAATAATAATAATCAATGTTGGAGAAGTTGTGGAAGGACTGGTGCACTAATACACTGTTGGTGGAGCTGTAAATTAGTACAACCATCATTCTGAAAAAGCAACTTGGAATTATGCAAATAAAGTGGAACAGATATCCATACTCTTTGGTCCAAAGATTCCACTACTGACCATATCCCTCAAAGTGGGGCTTGATAAAAAGAAATATTTATATTATTTATATTTATAGCAACATTTTTTTATTGTAGCAAAGAACTAGAAACAAAGTAAACGTAACCATTGATTGGGGAAATGACTAAAAAAACAGTGGTATATGAATGTAATGGAATATTACTGTGTTGCAAAAAAAAAATGATGAATACAGAGAACCATAGGAAGACTTAAATGAACTGATAAAAGCGAAGTTAGTAGAGCCAAGAAAACAATAAACACAATGACTAAAACAATGCAATGGAAAGAATAACAGCCATAAAACAAGTAAAAATGAATGTTGTAAAATTACAAATAAGACATAAGAAAAGACACTTCCCTCCACTACTTTGTAGAGATGGGAGGTGAGGCTCACTGGTGTGAAACATGGCATAAACATTTTTTCTATAGACTGCCTGGTTTTGCTGATTTTTTTTCTCTTCCTTTTTTTTTAATATTGTTGTTAAGAGATGGCTGTATAGGACGGGCAAAGGGAAGAGATATAGAGAAAAATTTAAGTAAGATAAGAACAAAAGGTACCAATAAAAATTTATTTTTAAAAAGTTTTATATGTATATAAATCACAAATATATATACATACACATATCACACACATACATATATATACCTGTATGTAAATAGCATAAGGAAATGCCAGACCAGTATATGGCTAAGAATAATTTAGGTAGCTAGGTGGTACAGTAAATTAATATGTTGGACCTGGAATCAGGAAGACATAAGATCAAATCCAAACTTAGGTAGATTTGCTACATGTGTGAACCTGGGCAAGCAACTCTGTCACCTATAAAATGGAGATAAAAAGAGTAGCCACTTTCCATGGTTATTATAAGGATAAAATCTGACAATATTTATCAACGTACTTTGCAAACCTAAAATTGCTACATAAATGCTATCATCATTATTATTATTATTATTAGTAGCAGTAGTAGTAGTAGTAGTAGTTGTAGTAGTAACAGTAGCATCAGCAGCAGCAGCAGCAGCAGTAGTAGTAGTAATAGTAGTAGTAGCAGTAGCAGTAGCAGTAAACAAATACTAGTAAGGTATTTCTTTGAGATTTCTAGTTGCTTAAGATATCCCTGGTGTTGGCAATATAATTCAAGAACAGAAATCATTTGCATTTTGACATGAAACAAGGAAAGTAGCATGATCCAGAGAGGAACAAGACCCTCTGGGACTTGCTTTCAAATCTCAAACTGACAGAAATGTGGTATGCACATTTCCCATTACTAATTGCAATAAAAAGCATCTTATAATCATCACTTTATTTTCAAACATTTGTGTGTGTTTAGTTATGTGGCACTAAAAGTAGTTTATAAAAGTAGGAGATGATATAACTGACTCAACTACTGTCCCTCAATTTTTAATTTAATATAGCACAGCTTGGTCAATAGTAGTACTGCCTTGCTGACCTGGTTTCAAATAGGTTCATTAAATGAAAAATACTGTATCACATATATATTCACCAGTCTCTGTCAATGTAAGAGTCCGTCTTAATAAAAACAGTGATTTTGTACAGGCAGTCTTTGACTGATGGTGATTCAACTTCCAGTGCTCAGCCATAAATTACATCCATGCTATCAACTTTCAGTACTTACAGCAGGCACGTAGTGCACAAATGCACTTATATCAATCTGCTTCCTGATGTATGCCATGTAAGGCTCTCCTTGGCCCCCAGTCTCTCTCCCTGCCCTGCAAAGCCTTTCTCCCTGGAGGGCTCTTGGGTCTCAGCCAACACTAGCACAGCCCCTCCCTGGGGGGTCCATGGGCTGTTGCTCAAGCAGAGGGAGGGAGATGGCAAAGCAGGGATAGAAGGGAAGAGAGAGGGAGACAGAAAAAGGTATCAGATCAAAGGAGAGTGTTCTGTGAGTATAAAATGGTATCTTACGTGTGTGGCTGGCAAACTGTCTCTGGAGGCAACTCCAAAAAGAATTTCAAGAATATGATGAGGCACAGTTACAATATTTAAACAATTACATGGCTTCCAAAGGGGTAACTTGAAAGGATCCTTATTTGTAGTCATACATTTTAGTATGTTTAAAAATCAGTTTCATTACTATATAGATATACATGGTATTACATAAATCTTTAAAACTATTGATAGGGAAAAAAAGCTCCCACTTAAATAGATCATTTACTAAATAAATTGCTATCTAATATCAAAACTGAAGTCCCTGCCCTGTAAATTGTTATGTCTGTTTTTCCCTTCCCTGAAGCCCTTTGAAACTCTTCTTAGAATGAAATATTAGAGGAGGCTAAAGCTGGACTTTTAGATTAATTAAGGTATGACCATTTACTGACCTGAATCCCATCTAATGCTTCAGAGTAAGATAAGTAGTGTAGTAAGTGGATGAAGGAAGGTAGTAGAGAGTGAAAAGAGTATGGGAAACTGCAGAAACACAATTTAAAAGAATGATTATGATTCCTGCCTTAGGTGATGTGACACTTGAAACTATGCCTTATTAAAAAAAATTAATCAGTCCTCTGGAGTCATAATGACATCTGAACAGATTCCATAATAATGATGAAAAAAAGTAGCTCCAAAGTCAAGACTAATAATGAACAAGTGGCAACTTTTAATGGTGCTTTAGAGCAGTTATATATCCCCTCTAAAAAGGCAAGACAGAATCATACAACAGAAACTTAAACAAAAAGAAATATCTATAGAGTCAATGAAGTATAGTGCAAAGTGTACTGGGCCAAGATTCAAGAAACCAGGGGTAAGTCACTTAACTTCTCTGAAGCTCAAATTCTTCTGGGGATACTACCAGTGACCCTGACCACCTTATGGGAACTTTAGAAATTATCTAATAAAACTCATTCATTTTGCAGATGATTTGAGGATCACATGAAATTATGCATATAGTAGTGTTTTATGAATGATAAAGCACTATTCAAGCATAAAGTATTCATTACTAAAGAAATTATAGTCATCAGATACCATTCTCTTTAAGGCTACCAGTCTACCTTGTAACTGTAACTTGCTTATAAGCAAACCAACTTGTATTTGTTTGTCAGAAATATACTTTGTTATGAGCACAGATTTCTGAAAATTATTACTTTATACTTGCCTGTTTTCTTACTGAGTTTGTATAAGAAAGTTTGCCTGGGGTCTGAATGATCTCGACATGTCAGTTGTAATAAAGAACCTGACTTTTTCCACTTTTGCATAAACCAGAGACCTGGAGAGTTATGAATAACATATTAGCATAGATCTAAAATGAAATGATAATTACATCCAAAGTTACTGATTTAAGCACATACTTCAATTTTTAAAAGTTCAGAAAATTGCTAGTCTTTCCACTAATACATAGAAAACTTTAACATTCTTACCTTTAAAAGTCCATTTAAAAAAAAAAAACAGAATAAAAAATTGGATTAAGTAGGCTAACAGAAGACCAGCTCATTATCATAGATTAGCAATGTAGTATGAAGGAAAAAGTACCAAGAAGTTGTGGTTCAGGAACTATTTGATTAGTCATGGAGAGAAATAAAAATAAACAGAGCTTAAATACACTTGAAAATGAGAGTGTGGATAAATGATTTCAGTCTACAGATGATTACAGTCAAAGAATTCTTTTGAGAGGAGTAAGCAGTCAATTTTCAAATTACTGGATGGCTTTTAGATAATTTATACTCTACATTTATGCTAATTTTCTATCATTAGTTCTCCATATTTGTATAACATATTACTTTTAAAATTGATCCTCAATTATGCAAGTGCTGATTTTCAGATTGTAGAAAATTCATTGCCACCTAATGCTTTGTCTTTATTACATTCATTAGTTTGTAGGTTCTCTGCTCATCAGTGTAAGAAAAGGAGATGAAACTCAAACAATTATCTTTATACTCTTAAAAACTGCTGGGAAAAGATTTATTGAAGAAACTCAAGCTACTGAGTCCTATTAATATGGATTGTCTTTTAGATTACGTATAGATTTTATTTTTTTCCATATTCTTCTTCTTCACTAGAAATCCTTAGTTAAGTGTAAATACTTGATTGCCACCAAAATTTTAAGTGAAAACTGCATGGTTTACATATCAAAGAAACAAGAAAGTCAAAAAGTTTGTTCATAAACAAAGATTTAATCTAAGAAACAGAAAATGACAGAAAATTCCTTCTCTCTAAAGTGCTATCTAGTAAGATCAAATTCTCTCACCCTAATTTCACCCAGAAACCATTTAAAACAATCCAAGATATACAATTCTCATACTAAATTCTTACCTCCTAAAATGATGGAATTTTATTTTAAAATTTCAATTACAAAATATTTTATAGTAGAATTTTAACTTTTAAATTATGAAAAAGAATATTTCTGATCTTAGCTGAATACATTTATTTTTTCTATGACACACTATTTTAATAAAAATATTTAGAAGAGGCAATATAATGTAACAAAAAGGGTTAAAAGTGAATTTTGACAAACATCAAACGAATGTAAAAATATCTCTTTTCTCAAACAATTTTACTGATATATTACATATACTTTTGAGGGGTATAAAGTGGTAAAACAGGAAACAAGCTTGTTTCTGTGGTTCAGGTTACATATGGAAATAATGAATTCTCATTTATCAACATATGAACAATAAAAATACCCACTTCTTATTTAATTAACATGTCTTTAGTCAAAAGATTTTTAAAAATTCAAAATGAAAATTTTTTTTACCTGTATTCACAAGAGCACTGCTATTATAGAGGGTACCAAGGTGTGGTCCAGACAGAGACAGAAAGGTGTGAAGTTTGTTGAGGTAATATTTAAACCTAGGCCTTGTAAGCACTGAACGGATTATTAGGTTGCCCAATGAATGTCCAATAAAGCTTAAAGAAAAAAAAATTAGATTGTTTTCAAATATATTAATTTAAAAAAATAAACTGAATATCCCCATATACAATGAAAAAACAAGTAAGAGTAAAAATGAAAAGATTTCTAATTTTAGTTGAATTTTGTTATTTCACAGATATTGAAACTGAGACCCTGAAGGGTTAACTGACTTGCCTGATGCCACACAGTATTTGCTATTTTCTAATACCAGCAAGTGATGCTACTTGAAAGTGATATGAGACTGCAATATCACTTCCTCAACAATCCAAAATTTAAATAATTTTGCTATCAGTGCTCTAAAGAGGCTCTGGGAAGAGATTTTTTTAAACTAGTATTGTGATTGCTGAGAAAATATTTTAAAGAGAACATTAAATTGAATAGTTTATAATTTTGCCAACAGAAGGTAAAACAAAAACAAAATTAAGCCAAGCTTACTGAAGAATTATTAAACCACAACTGTCTATATAATAGCCAGCACAGTAAAAAGTTAATGTGCATTTGAATGTTTGATGTGGAAACGTTTACCCTTCTTTCCACTTTTTACCAATAATTTGAAATGTAAAGATTGTGGAGCTGTTAAACTACCAAAAATGTTAACAAAGCACTGCTAAAATATAGGGTGGTTTCTATAATAATAGAAAGGCAGAACACATTTCATTTCAGTATGTTTTAAATAATAGTTCAATGATTAATATTTTACATGTATTTTACTTGTTTAACAAAATTTGAAAAATTTAGGAGAACTCTTAATTAGTATATTTACTTTCATTTGAAGGAAAAATACGATTTGTGATAGAAGGAATCTATAAGAACCTGTTAATATGATGATAGGTTTAGTAAGTTGGTCATACTAATATAAACACAAAATCATTCATTTAAAAGTATTATATTATAAGTATAATTTAAAAATAACATGACTAAGAAACTCCTTTTCTTAGAGAATTTAAAGTTTTCAAGGACAAAAGTATGGGTGCATAAAATATTTATGCAGGGAAGCCTGTCACATGCTGAAGTATTCTCCTCTATTAAAGACATTATTCACCATCTGAAAGATGTTAACAGTGAGAATATTTCAAGCTAAAGGCTCCTTTGCTAAAAGTAATTGCCATTAAAATTTTGTTTTCAACTCTAGTATTCAGATTAACTAACAAATCACTAAGAATTTAAGAAGAGTCCAGTTAGCACTCATCTAAACCAGGTGGTTCCTTAACTTTTTGTGGGCAAAGAGTTATTTTACATGCCTAAAGCTCTAGAACTCATAATAAAGTTTATGAGCATGAACATAAGTATAACAGTGGTGAGTTCTGTAAGGAGGGATGGAAGGCATGAAAACATTGCATCTTCACTTCCTCCTCAGATAGCTACATACTTCAAGAGGGGTATCAAGGCAGCAGAGTGACTTGCAGCTACAATCTCCTCTAAAAAGATGCCAATGCTTCTGGAAAAGGGATAGCTATGACCCTGAGAATCAGGTTCATTTGTGTCATCAACTGAAATTAACTGTCTGGTGAATCCTTGACATAATCTAAAAGGAGATATGATACGGTACTAATGAAAATAAAGTATCATTTATATTTTACTTAGAAAGGGTTTTTTGTATTGATATTTAATACCTGTTTTGTGAATTTATGAGACTTCAGATAAAAAAAGAATCCATACTTAGTAAAGGTTTTACTCAGGAGAATTGGGAAATGTGTTCTGCTATAATCATACCGGCTCTTTACTTCATGCTGGGAACATATGAACACTAATACAAAGCACCAGCATAAATAAAGCAAAGTTGGCTCCTCTCCTTGGAGTGATTTCCTTACTCATCATGTCCTATCAGCTGCCAAATCTTATTTTTCCTACATTGACAGCATCTGCTGTATCTGCCCCCTTCTCTCCATTCACATGGGCACCACCCTAGCTCAGCCTTTCATTATCTCTTGCCTTGAATTTCTAGCCTCTCTTCAATCTATCTTTCATATAGCTACCAAACTGATGTTTTTAACACACGGGCTTAAACACATCACTTCTTTGCTCAAGAAGTTTCAACAGCTCCTTATTGCCTCCAGTGTAAAACACAAACTCCTCTGGTATTTAAAGTCTTTAAAATCAGGCTCTGAACTATCTTTCAGCTTTATTTCACATCATTCTCTCTCTCCTGTGCATTTTATATTGTAGCCAAACTGGTTTATTTGTTACTCTCTGTACATATTCCAATTCCTTATTCCTCATACTCTCCTCTCCCCTTGCCCTAAGTCTAGGATGTTCCCTCTCTCATCTCCACTTCTCGAAATCCCTAGATCCCTTCAAGTCTCAAGTTCCACCTCCTGTATGAATGAGGCTTTTCCCCAGTCAGTCCATTTGTTAGTATGCTCCCCACAAATAACTCTGCATCTATCTTGTATTTATTTGTATCACTATACGGAGGAGGCCTTTCCCAGTTCCCTCAGCTGCTAATGTCTTCCTTTTTGAGATAGTTTTATCTTCTCCTTCCTGAGATCTTTAGGGCAAGGGCTATTTAAAAAACAAAACAAAACAAAAATCAACCTTTCATTATAGCACAGTGCCTGCCATATAGTAAGTGCACATAATGTTGCTGATTGTGTAAATGTAGTAATCTATCTCCCTCCCCAACTCTGGCCCCAAACATTCAAGATATGATGTGAGTTCCTAAGGGTAGAAACTGTTGAGTTTCTATCTTTAAATCTCTAGCACAATGTCTTACACACAGTAAGTACGCTTACTGAATTAAATTGAACCTAGTTGAGATAGAAACAATTAGCTTGCCCTTTCTTCATGTCTTTTCTGAGGCAGGGACATTTATCTTTTTGCTTAGCCCCTGTTGAGTTAGACTAAACAAAAAGTCCTGTATATGTGAACAAATAATTACTGATACTAATAAAATACAATTTTTCTTCTGAACGAGAGTTGATAGCACTGAAAAATTTTAAACCCAGTGTAGCAACTGGTAGCCATGGAAACTGGATGCTCTAATTTTTTTTCCTGTTTTCTTTTGCTTGTATGCACTTGTTACTGAGCTGCTTTCATGGCATTTTATCTACTCTCATTCAGTTTTGCTTCTGTTTCTAAGGAGAATTCTTCTATGTTATAGTTGAGAACAAAACTACTATGAAATAGATTCATTTTTATGTAACTTGTAAAAATATTAAATGAGTAGGCACAATAGTAGTTACCTGATTTTTGAAATTGTTAAACTATAAATCTGAATATACTGTATTATCTCATCAAGAAGGCGATCAGTCATGCTATCAAAATCGGCAAAGGTGTCATTCTAAAGAAAAGCAAAATATATAAATTAGTTATACGTGCAACTTTAAATAATTTTAAATATACAGTAACTTCTAGCTAAATATTAATATTCACTTTAATATATATTATAACCTGATGTCTCTTCGGTTTACTGCTGCTTTTCTTTTTTTTTTTTTTAAGAGAGCACTCATGAATTATTTACATTATGGTCCAATTCGTAAAAAGATTGCTTTTCGGTCAAAATATACCACGGGATCATAAGACTAAGGGAAGGGACTTCAGAGGTTATCTTGTCTAACCATTTCATTTTAAAATTGAGGAAACTGAAGACCAAAGAAGTTAAGACTTCTCCAACGTCACAAAGGTGGTAAGCAGCAAGGTCAGGATTTGAAGCCTGGTCCTCTGATTCCAAATTCAATACTCTTTAGCATTCTCTTTTAACAACCCTCATTCCATTTCCAAAAAAACCCCCAAAACAAAAGTTTTTTGTTTTAGGGTGGGGGTGGAGCATTCCACTTGAAGTAAAAGTGAAAAATAGCATAAGAAGTTAGAATTATAACTTTAATTAATGGGTTCCATCTATACATAAATTCTAGAAACTTAAGCAGAATATTTAGGAATATAATGAAAAGAGATCAATGAACTGGCAAATCAAAACCAAAAAAAATTTGCTTCATATTTATTTTTTGTTTCACGAAATTTAGGAAAAGAGTTTTCAAATAGCTAGAAATGAGTTTATAAAAGAAACACTTTTAATATGGTTTCCTATGAAAGGGTCACATGTCATACCTGATTCCTCTCAGACATAAGAAAATCTATGCGTCCTCCAGGAAGTCCAAGTTCAATATATGTTTTAACTAATCTAAGGTCTGCACTGTTACCTAGAAACAGAAAAATTCAAGTGTAAAGAAGCAGTGGAAGTATAAAGCACAGTATCCCTATATTTTTTTAGTTTATGAAGGCAATTTTATGGCCTGTGTTGATGTCAGTTGAAGTAGCCTCAACTTTTAACACTTCAAAATTGACATCCAAAATCTAGATAATGTCTATAAGCAGTAAGCAAATGAGTAGATTTGAGCTATAATATAATGGCATCATTCTCAACTTAATGGTGTATTTCTTTAGCTATTATTGTTGTCTTTGTTAGGGTAGGATATAAAACATCAAAATTGTGCTTTGTAGCTATTACTGGTTATATATAGCAAGTCAGCTGGGTGTGAACTTTAACTATTCTAGTTCATCATTTAAACTTCATAATACATATTGGAGCCAGTCTTAGCTATGCCATCTTCCTTTTGGAAGTGAGATGAAATAGTAATAACAGAAATAGCCTGGCATAGTAGAAAGAGTTTTAGGCTTTGAGTCAGGAAGATCTGAGTATGTATTTTGTCTCAGACACTTACTAGATGTGTGACTTTGGGCAAACCCCTTAACCTCACAGCCTCAGTTTCTTCATCTGTAAAATGGGGATAATAACCACACCTACATCACCAGGTTGTTGTAAGGATCAAATAAGAAGCATATGTAAAGCATTTTACAAACCTTAAAGTGTTATGTAAATATAAGCTATGATTATTCTTTCCAAAAGACATTTTTAAAAGAACATATTTTCAGATTCTAGGATATACTGGGTAGAAAAGCTCTTCTGTTAAAATATGTTCTGTATAGCAGGAGAGCTGTTCCATCTAAGCTCAAAACTAAAATATTTTAATTAATTTTTTTTAAGCCATTAGAAGCATCATGAAATTTCCCAAATTTCTAATCTGATTATAGCTTTCTTCTCAATTCTGGACTCACCTTATCATTCACCTGGAGTGTTGGTCTAAGACATCTGTACTAATGGACCAAATCTATGAAGCATCTTTCCAGCTGACTATCACAATCTAGACAAGAGGTGAAATAGTACATCCATAACTTGAATCTATAAAAAATTATGAATATCTGCATCTTCTCTGGTTTCAAAAAGGTCCTCAGGCAACTATCTCAAGAAAACAGGTTTCTGCTATTGTTGTTTGTCCATTTTCAAAGGCGACCAATGACACCATAGGGTGATGTCTGGACTTGAATGTGAACTGCATTTAAGTGAGGCAGAGTTACACAAAGTTGTCAGCCTCACTCTCTCTTTCAGAGTTATAAAAGTCCAGTGGCAAGAGAAAAATCAAGACAACTGGTGATGGCCTGGGATGCAGTGATGAGCTTGGCATTAAAACATATAGCAAGTAAGTATCATAAACTCTAGTAACAAAGTTCTTTTCAGTTTCAGCAGTATAAAGATTTTAATATCAAATACTATTTTGGGTTTTTTTTGGGGGGGGATTCATAGGTAAAAGGACATAAAATAACCAGGTCTAGATCAAATGTTCCTTACTTCTAATCTAAGAGATCAGCTACATCATATGAAATTAAAAATGTGTGTTTACCATTTAAGAAATGCAACAAAGTGAACTTGAAAATAATAATAAAGGAAACTTGTGGTACATCATTTTACAAAATGAAAAAATTACTTTGTAGTAAGAACAATCCCTAATTGATCTATAAGTCCTACCAATGCCTTACATATTTCTTTTAGATAGAGTTTCCTTAGCTTATTAGTTCAAGTATTCGATTGTAAATTATCAGCTGAAGGAAAAGCATATAGTTCTCGCTTTTTTTTTTTTTTTTAGGCAACTGGGGTGAAGTGATTTGCCCAGGGCCACACAAAAGCATATATTTCTCATGGGAACTGAGGTATACCTTTAAAGAACAGAGTTTTGACTTTACTTAATTAAACGTAAAAAAAAAAATTAAGTACTTTGTAATACAGTAACATTCCACTGATTTTGAGATCAGATTTTTAGCAATCTTGAATGTACAGAAGCTGAATTTAAAAGTTTTACTGATATCTTTTATTTTATTGATGTCTTTTGATTTTATATCAGACATTTCTAGATATATGCCCCTCTTCCTCACCATTGAATCTGACCTTGTAATACATAAAAATAGTTAAACAAAATCAGTGGATATAGTGACCATGTCTGACAGTGTAGGTGATATCTGTACTTGCTCTCTACAGAGTTTATTTCATCTTAAAATTAATCAACCTATTATTAAATCTGGTTATGTAGTTTCCTATATCACAACAAATTTGAAAAGGCACATCTGAATATGTCTGGGTTCTATTAGAGGCAGCTTGTTGACTATAGTTAGAAGTGAAAGCTGACAGATGGTTAAGATAGGGAAAAAAACAATTCAAAAGTGGATGCAGAAATTAGTTTTCTAATATAATCTAGTACAAAGATAGTATGTTAATAATGTTGATTGAGTCATCAAAAATAGACAAATTTGTTTAATGTCCTTTGTTAAGAAGCAAGGAAATATACATCTGAGCAACAGGCTAATCCAAAATGACTAAAAAGAAAATTAATGTGATAATACTTGATGGTACTTTAAAGGTTTATAAGGCATTTCACATGTTATCACATTTGACCTAATAACAACCCTGTGAGGTAGGTATCCCCACTTTAAGATTGGGAAAATGTGAAGCTTAAATGACCAGGGTCACATACTCAGTAGGTGCTGAAGCAGGCTTGAATTTGAGTCTTTACAGTACAGTACTTTAAGCACAGTACTTTAATCTACCATGCTATCTAGCTGCTTGAAACCCAGTGGACTGTCTTTCACAAGTCCCTTTCCAATGATGTCCAATCACTGTGGTATTATTATTTATATAAAAAGGTAAGCATGCTTCTTTGAACAGATTTTGTAAAGAGATCAGTAGTATATCTATTTAAACAATTCAAGAATCCTTTTCTTCAGATCAGAGAGCAAATAATACAAGAAAATTATCATCATCATTATTAATGGGACTAAATATTTGTATTAATACTATGGATGCACACACCATCTAAACCATGGACACAGACAATGAGATGTATTCCATCTTCTGAACCATCATCCTCTTCCATACTGAAATAAGGTATTGAGGAAGCCAGCTGGAGAACATCACTGTACATAAATCCAGGTAGCTTAAGTTGTCTTAATTCTTCCTTTGCCTGAAGGAAACTGAAGCAAAATACATAAATTAATACCTAATAATAGTGTATTATACTTTTAGTAGCAGGAAGAAAACACATTGGGTTTATGGAATTACAAAGTAAATCTAAAAGACTTTTTTTAAAATAATGAAATTATATAATATTATTAAGTTTCAAATATTTTGCCAATAATCTTTCCTTTTCTTTTTAGAAAATTCTAATTCTAATCAAATACAATGAACTCAAATGGAAAATCATTTAAGGATAACACTGGGAGTAAGGTCATACTCTTCTAAATTTCTAATTAAAATTTCATAAGAAAGTTTGGGAGAGACAACCGTAGTATGACAATGCTGAAAGCTTACCTGTTATATATACCTGTTGTTCAAATCCTACAATATCTAATAGGTTAGGCTGTATTGTATCTATCTTCCTTACAACAATGAATGGTGGGAACAAACTTTGTGAGGTAAAGGGATTGTTGTAATATGAGCATTTGGTGGTGACACTCGGTTAAAGGTATGATAAACCAATCTTTTAGGGACTGTAAACACTAAATCTTATTATACAATATTTATCCTTGCTGAACAGATTAGAAACCACAACCAACTTTGTATTACAATTAAATAAACATTAGTTATTACTTGCCTATGTGTCTTGAGTATATAAAAGGAGGATCTAAATTTTGTAGATGACTGCTAAATGACCTAGGGAGAGAGATGGATCTCATGGAAGGCTACAGCTATCTTCAATGCCACAGAAATAGTTTTTAGAACTCAGAAGGTGGAGGGAAAGCATGCTATATAGCTCTCTGGTGCACTAGTGTTTCCTTAATAATTTAAGTGGTTTAGAAATATAATAGAATTTTAGGAACTTGCATTTACCGTAACAAAATGCTCATAGAATGACATATTCTTTGCATCTTGGTCATGACAGAATTGCAGACTGGCTTCTAGTCACTTGTCAATTCAACAAACACTTACTATAGTATATGCAATACAACACAAAGATAGGGATGTGTGAGTTTAATACTCTTGATAACAGCAGTTTTGGTAGTGAACTTAAGGAATATTTAGTTTTAATCTATTCCTGATAATCAAAACACCAAAACGTACAAGTATTTATGTGTGGGACAATACTGTCTTTATCTTAGAGGCAGCTAGGTGGCACAGTGGATGGAGCACAGGACTTGGAATCTGGAAGACCTAAGTTCAAATCTTACTTCAGACACTAGGTTGCATTATTCTGGGCACTTAACTCACTTGACCCATATGGGCCTTCCTTTCCTCATCTGTAAAATGGGGTTAACCTACCTCCCAGGGCAGTTGAGAGGATAAAACGAGATAAGATTTGTAAAGAGCTTTGCAAACCTTAAAAGTGTTATGTAAATCCTAGTTGTTGTTGTTATTCAAGGTGTTTGTGTTGGTGAAATAATAGCTAAATATGTTACTAATGCAGAAAAAAAAACCAGCTCATCTAGGAACACCGTTAAAGTAAGTATTTTACTTTAATTGCTGGCTAGGTTGTCCAGATCTTTTCAAGTTTTATCTTTATATGTAGTGATAGATGTTCTACTTGTCTCCCTGATCCTTCTTCTCAGGTCTTCTCCATCAACTTTATAAGCTAGAGAACTAGTATCTACACAATGACAAATTCAGGTAGCTCTATATACTTTGTAGCTTTGGAACTTCTGGTCATTTCCTTGCTTGCTACAGTGGTGGACAATTTCTTTAATCCTTAGGTCTGTTTAGAATACTTGGTTTCTCTCTAGAGTAGAGTAGGTAGAAAAGGCTGCTAGTTCTGTATAGTGAAAATATAGTTTTAACCATCCATAAAATCACCACTAGAACATTTATTCTTAGCTAGAAATGGCTTGCTTACATCAAGAGAATAACAATCAACGGCTGTGGGAGCAACAGGGATGTCTCTAAGAGATATGCTGACATGTTTTAAGGTTATGTTTGTATTATACAAATTACAGTACAAAACAGGTCTTCATTCCTTTAGTACAATTTGTGGTATTTCCAGTGCATTTAGTAACACATTGTCTACTTTCTATGATTTAAACTTTTAAGTTTTATTGTAAATTTATTTTTGTTCTCTAAAAATACAAAATTTTAAAAACGTTACTTTGGTCTGCTGGCCATTTCTGAAAGTAAATATATAGTTATGAGAAACTCATGTTAATATTCCAGGGTAGAAAAGTGATTCCTTCATAAGTCTTACAGAAGGTAGCTGGCTAAGACATGAGAACTGTCAATAATTCACACATTTTTTAACTAGTTTAATTCAATAAGCACTTAAATGCACACTAACTCTCCATGATCTATGATCTCTAATCTCTTTCCTTCAAAAGTTCACATCTAAGTAGCTCCACAAAGGTATTTAATTTAAAGAAATACACTATTGGTCTTTTACTTACGCTTGTATTTGAGGTTTGGGTGAATTTTCATACCAGGAAATTGATGAAGTAGAGCTGTATGAAGTGCTGCTTGGTTGTTTCGTGATTGCGTCAAATTTGTTTTTAGAAGAACATTTAATACTACAAGGAGACTCTCTTGGTGCAGATGGGAAAGACAAACAACCAGGAGTACACACAGCAGGCATATTTATACCATCCCTTAGATATTCACTGTTTATTCTTTCAGCTTGGAGAAATTTCTCTTCTGCTAGCCCATGATTGTTCTTAAAGTGAGCACTTACTGCTCCATCCAAAACTGAATCGTCTGCTTCCTCATAATACCCATTTTGAACCATTTCTTGATCCTGCTCTTCCTCCTCTTCCTCTTGTTGAGGATTAATCATGTCTTTTTCAGAAATTTCCTTCTGAGGGCTAACTGGATTGCTGTGGTCAATAGCACATGTATCAGAAATATCCGTACTACTTTGAGAACCAAAATAATTCTCCACAAACCCCTGTTTTACCATATCAGTACTGCTGGCTGATGAAAGGTCATTTGTGCCTGTGTGAGCTTCCTTTTTAACTATTGGTAATTCTGTAACCATTTGTTTGAGGTCTAATTTTTCTTCATGAGGTCTATCTTCACTAAACTCTGCATTATTAGAAATTGAACCTGTATCAACACAAGTGGCCCCCAAATAAATAAGTTCTGACTTTAGTGTAGTCACTTTCTCTGTAGAGATAAAAGGTTCATTAGGACTTTGAGAATCCTTACCCACCATGTTAAAGTTTGCCTGTGAACTGTGGCTACTAGAGGTATCTTCAACTGAAGCAACCATCTGCAATGAATGTCTTATATTTGAATGTAAGGAATTTACAGCTATAGGCTCAGTGTCTGAAAGTCCTGAAAATATGACACTCTGCTGCTGCAAAATAATACTTGACTTTTTGTCATCATCGTATTTTGGCAGATCAATCATTCCTAAATTTAACACAGTTTTACTATCACTTAGATGGCACTCAGGTACAACAGATCCCTTAGAATTTTCATCAGGTGACAGTTCATCATCATCCGAAGGTAAAGAATTTATGGATGTCAAGGATGACTGTATTTCACTTAAAGCACTTGTACTCTCTGTACAATGGCTTTCTAATGAAATTTTTATGTTAGAATCTGGTTTTAGCAAAAACTGAGAATACATTCTTTCAGTATTAGCACCTTTTTCTTGTATGGTTTCAAATATTACATCAGGGTTTGGATGTGTTGCAAAAGAACTTGGTTCACTTTCAACACCTGAATCTGAAAATCTGGAGGAGGCATATGTGACATTAACATCTGGTAATTTAACTGTATCTGTACTTACTGCAACATGATATTCTCTTGCAGAAAGACTAGATGGATTACTTTTTAATTTACTTAGAGAATCTCCAACACATCGGCACTTTGTTTCTTGTACAGTTTCCTTTTCAGAAACTAATCCTTCTATAGATTTAAATTTATCACTAGCTACTACAGACTGAAAGTTGGGTAACTGAGAATTATCCAAAAATATTTCATCTTGCTGAGATTCTGTCCATACCCCTACTGTGACAGTTACTTTCTCTCCCCTGAAAGGATTTTTACTCCTTGGTTTTACTTCAATTGTCCTAACTCCTGTTGATTCAGTTGTATGATGATCATGGCAAACATCCGATGACCCTCCAGATGCCAGACTGTGATCCACTTGTGTAATTTCATTATCGTCCTGGGAGATATCAAGTTTACCTGAAATGGACAAATTTGCACAAAGATTTAGGCTGCCAAAGTTCAAAGAGGAAAATTGGTTTGGCTGTATACTTTCAATTTTTGTAGGCTTTTGTTCAGTTCTGTCTGTGTCAGCTGGCAAAAAGCCAACTTCTTTTTGACTTGTCTGTCTGGTGCAGGTCTTTGTCTCATAATTAAATGCCCTGATTGTGGGATCCAGACCCTCCTTTTGGCTATGTGAAGGCTTGCCTTCAGAGCATTTAAAGAGGTCCTCTGATGCTGTACTTTTCAAACATTTGTAGCCTACCAAAACCACAGAGTCCTTAGAGTTTTGTTTTATTACTCTTTTGGTGTTTTCAGTTTTCATAGTTCTCATCAGTTTAGTAACCTTAACCTTGGGTTTATTTGAATCTTCATTTTTTCCTTTTAGAGACTTTGTGAGCTGCTTTTCACCTTCTGTATACAATATATTGGAGGCACCAGCAGGTCTGATTTTCAACTCTGGGCTAGAAAGTCCAGTTACAGGGCTTTCTTCAGTCTCAAATTTATCCATTCTATTGGACTCTGATCTCTGAAGACTCTGAATTCCCATCCAGGGTGCATCTAAGTCTTTTATCCAAAGAAAAAAAAATTTAGGTTTAAAACAGGATAAGAGAACTCAAATGATTAAGATGTACTTTTTCTGCATATAACTTTCAAATATCCTCAAAATACATATAACCAGAGGGAAAAACGCTTCAAAATGAACAAAGTTTTATGTACATTATAAATGAACATATTTTAAAAAGCATTCCTGGCTTGCCTACACATTTTAGTTCAGTTATACTTACCTTCAGTAATAGAATCTAAATACCTATCTTCAAAGATTATAGGTAATGAATTGAGATCTCCATCGAGTTCACTACATTCAACAGGAAGAGGTGGAAGAGAGCTGCAGAAGGAAGTGTTTTTGATAGCTGTGCACATCTGTAGATGACTCTGAGCACTGAAAAATATAAACTGTTAGTCAGTACTGTAATATAAAGCCAATAAATTCAATTCTTGCCTCTAGAATTTCCATGGTCCCAAGAAAAAAACCTGTAAAAGTAGCTACTTTCATGAGACTTAACGGTACAATTGCTTAGTAAGTGAGGAGTGTAGGTCAGGGGTAGAGTGAGGATCCCCTTAATCCTTAGCTAAGGTAAAAGCTAGTTTACCTTATGTGTATAAAATCAATAAAGAGGAAAATTAGCATTGGTAAACTTCATGTGGAAAATGAATACCTTGATACAATAAACTGGTATGAAATATATTCATTTTAATTTTTAAAATTACTTTCTGCTTTACTAGGCAGCTAGGTGGTATGGTGGATAAAGCGTTAGACCTGGAGTCAGAAACACTTGAGTTCAAATATGGCCTCAGATAGATTAATTAGCTGTGTGGTCCTAGGCAAGACAAGTCACTTAATTGCTGTCTGCCTCTGTTTTCTTATCTGTAAAATGCAGAGGTGGGGTGCTAATAATAATACCTCTCAGGTTATGAAGATAATGAGCTAATATTTACAAAGCACTTTGCAAAACTTAAAAGTACTATAGAAATCCTAGTTATTATTATTACTTTTATGTATAAATCTATGTTGGCATTATTAGTCTTAGTATAGAAATTTCCCAACTGTTAGTAGGCTTAAGGGAATAGACCTATCTAACTTACTGTGAAGCACACATAATAGAATCATATAAGGGCACATTTATATTGTTTGATGCTAGTAGTAACAAGTTAAAACAATGTGCCAATTGCTTCTACTCTAAACTGAGAAAAATGGTAGTGAAAAGGTATAGTGTGAGAAAAAGTAGGAAAGCACAAGATACGTTACATCTCCCCAGAGTTTAAGGTTAACAAAAGGAAGTGGTGGAAAACAGAAACTGGAGGGGTAGGTTTGGTCTGGATTGTGAAGATCCTAAAAAGCTAAAGTATTTGGACTTCACGTAGTTGGCCTTTTGAAGGCTTCTGATGAGAAAATGACAAGATCTACAGCAGTGGTGTCACACTCAAATAGAAAAGGATCCCTGTGGGCCACATATTGACTTAGAAAACCACAAATAAAAATTTTCTATGCTACATTATATTTTTAATGATTTTGTTAAACCTTTCATTTAATGTAAACCAATTACATTTTCATCTAGCTCTGGTGAACTGGGAGTTTTGTGAGGTAGGTTAGAGAATTTCACACCTCTGATCTATAGCATCACCAAATGCTTATTGGATATTTTGAATTGGATATTGCACAGGCTTCCTAAATGGAATAATCTTCTATTTGACTTGGTGGTTGCCTGATCTTCAGCTATATTCCTTACCTCCCTCTACAGACACTTTGGACTCTGCCTCTGGGATTCTGGGCTCTGAAGATAAGCTTTTACTTTCTCTTTTCTGGAACCAGACCTTCACAATCACTTCCTGGCAATTTCTGAATCATGCTAACTCGCATATATCCCTTTTAATTCTCCTTTATGTTTTTCCATTAGAATGTAAGCTCCTTGATGGTAGGAGCTGTCTTGCTTGTTTATATTTGTAACCCTAGCATTTAGCATGGTGCTTGCACACAGTAAGGGCTTTAAAAAATGCTTCAGCATATCATACATTATCATATCCATACATAATCAACAGGAAAAATGAAACAAACTTCCTTTGGATAGTAAAATCAGACCCAAGTTTGATACTGGAGGCTAGTGACCGCTTATTTGCAGGAGACAGATATAAGTGAGGGGATCCATATGTTGTGAAAATAAAGGGGTTTCTTTTTTGCTCTTGCAGGATCATGTACCCATAAAAATATCAAGTAAACGTAGCCCTGGGAAGCTGAAGGTTTTGGCTGGTCAGGTCAGTGATGGATCTTCAACTAAGAATGGGGCCTCACATCAGATTTCTATACATTTGACAGACTTGACTGGAGAGGCAGAATTTTTCCGGAATTTGATTTCTCACAGACTGCCCCTCTTGTATATTCAGTGAAAAATACCACTGATTCAGTGAGATATAAGTTCCACGCAAAGAAAATTAATATCACTCTTGTAGTATTTTCTGCTTTGTGTTACTTACTGGAGTTCTTGATAGGCAAGGGCTGCTTGCCTTGGATGTTCAAAACAGAAAAATGCTTCAGAAAACCTGCGTACCTGAAAAATCCCAAGAGTTACTATTAATCAAATACAGAACAATTTTAGGCAAAGGAGATAGTTGTAAACTTTTAAGAATACAATTAGCCTATAATCAAAATACAACAAAATGATATTTACACTAACTTCAAATGACAAGGAGCAGTCTCAATGGACTCCCATAGATCAAAATGAAATATTATAAGAATATGAAAACAAACACATACGTGAAGGATTCTGAAAGAAGGTGATGCTCAGAGTTCTAGTCATAGTTCTAAGGGGTACTTGCACACTGTCACAAAGCACACAAAGTACCTCAGCCATGCATACAGCTTTTATTGCTCTGTGAAGGAAGACAAGGCCCTCAGCAATACTGTGAAGTAGGGAAAGTATGTTGAGAGTATCCCTGACTTTCCCTTTCTTTCCTAATCCCCTTTAGATACCCAGCACCATGATTGTCTAATCTCTCTTCCCTATAAAAAATAAAACCAGGGGGCAGCTAGGTGGCACAGTGAATAGAGCACCGCCCTGGGGTCAGAAGGACCTGAGTTTAAATCAGGCCTCAACATCTGACACTTACTAGCTGTGTGACCTTGGGCAAGTCACTTAACCCCATTGCCTAGCCAAAAAAACCCAAAAAACAAACAAGCAAGTCTAAAACTCATTTATACTTTGATGTTCACATTACACTGATATCTCCTGCAGTTATATTTTGCCAGATTTCAGAGTTGGAGCAGGTCAGGTATCATTTAGTCAAACTTATAGTTTACTGACAATCTTTAATGCAATATTTTGAGATGTGGTCTTTTCTTAACTGAGGGAGAACCCACCAGCTTCTGAAGGAGTCTGTTATAATTCTGGCCATCTCTAGATGTCAGGAAGTTCTTTCTCATATTTACCTCCTTGAAAGTTTGTTTTCTAAAGCTCAGCAGAACAAGTTAACAGGGATGAGAGTTCTTCAAATATCTGAAGCCAACTATCATGTCCCTTACCTAAAACTACTACAGTTCCTTCAGCTTATCCTCATATGAAATCCCTCATCATCCTGAATGCCTGCCTTCCTGTGACATTGTCCAGCTTATCAATGCCCTCTCTAAAATGTAACATCCAGTAATGAACATAATACTTCAGGTGTGGGCTAACCATGGTGCAGTTTATATAGTAAGGCTATCACTTTCATATTTTTATACAGTTTCTCTTAATGTACCTTAAGATCACAATAGTTTTCTTGGTGATCAGGGCAATTTGGTAGCAGTGTGGACAGAGTGGTGGACCTGGAGTCAGGAAGACTCATCTCTCTTGAGTTCAATCCAGTGTCAGACACTTACTAGCTGTGTGACCCTGGGCAAGTCACTTAACCCTGCTTGCCTCAGTTCCTCATCTGTAAAACAAGCTTGAGAAGGAGATGGCAAACTGCTCCAGTATCTTTGCCAAGAAAACCTCAAATGGAATCACAAAGAATCAGACACGATTGAAACGAATGAACAAATATTCCACTACTGATTCATACCGTGTTTACAACTGACTGATTCCACTCATTTGCAGATGCACTGATTCTGTCTCACCTTTCCTCCCCATATTATACTTTTGAAATTTATTTTTTGAACCTACCATAAAGCTTTACAATTAGCCTTGGCTAAATGGCCTTAGATTTGGTTCAAATATTTCAGTATTTAAAAATTTTCTTGAATACTGACTCATCTAGTAAACTAGCTATCATGGCCATCTTTTGTCACCTTCAATTTGGATAAACATGCTATCTACATGCATTTCAAACCTTTTATCTATATAGTTGAAGTATTTTGTATCTGTTAATGAAATGTTGGGAAGGGGGAGACAGAATATTAAGTGTAATCTTTTCCTCGTTCTTGAAATCATATGCTGCCTAAGACTGATATTAAGCCTGTTTTAGTTGAGGATCTTACTCAGAAGTGAGGAACTAAGTCATGAGGGATAAAGCCGGTCTTTCTTCCTCTCCCTCTCCCAAGTTATTTGGATTCCTTTCAAAATGAGCTATGGGGAATAATCCTGGTTGAGGCTGCTGGATGAGAAGGGGCATGTCTTGGCACCCCGTGCTTTTTGAAGCTAGAACCCTAGCCCTTGCAAGTTGCTGGACCAGTAGGACTTACAGGACTTGTTAGTCCCCCATCCTTAACCCAAATTCCTCTTCGCCTCTCTGTTCCAAGGTTTCCAGATTCCAAGGATGCAGGGTCTATTCTCACTATACTCACTCCATCCACATTTCCTCCTCTTAGATTCCTAGTTTCCTTCAAAACTCAAGTTCCACTTTCTAAATGAAGCCTTTTCTAGTTGCCTGTGCTTTCCATCCCCAAATTTGGTTGTTTTTATTTTGTACGAACTGAAGAGGCAGTATGGTGTAGTGGAGAGAAAGCTGGCTTAGAAGGCAGGAAGACTTGAATTTAAGTCCTGCTTCTGGCACATGCAGGGAGTGTGACCCTGCCACAAGTCACTTAACCTCTCACAGCAACTCTCTACGACACTAAGTTGCAGAGAATGTGCTGACCTGCATTAATAGAGGGGGTTTCCACATCCTGGAATTCTCTATACTAACACAGTCCAGAACTTTATTCCTATCCCTTTTATAGATTTGTATACATTGTCTTCTCTTATAGAATATAAGCTCCTTGAGGATAGGGGCTATTTCATTCTTGTCTCTGCATCCATAGTACGTAGTGGCTAGCATATAATATGTTCTTAATAAATACTTGCTGATTAATTCCTTTTCCCTTAAACTACTACCCTGGACTTGATTTTCCTTTTCCCAGTGGGAATCATCCTGTCATCTTCCTGGTCAGGAAATGCAGTATTGTGGTTCATTGCTTTTGCTATCTCTTACCTCCAGATATCTAAGATATAGGGCAAGGAGCAGAAAGCTGGAGACAACTGGATGCTCTATTCAAGTATTCCTCAGGAGAAGAAAGACTGGAGAGGAGTTAACAGTATGTTGACACATGGAGGAACAAATGGAGAACAGAAGGGGTATCAAAAGAACAAGGGAACTCTGGGTTTTAGGGAGTTGGATCTAGGAACTTTATTTTTAACATCTGTACATGTCTGTACATTTGTTACCACAAATCCAAAAGCATAACTACAGGTTAGATGGTGTTATGGAAAACTAGAAAATGACAAAAAATTTAGATACTGGGGGACTAGAAAATTTGAGAAAATGAAAATTGAACTTACACTACATAAAATGAACAATTGTAGTATTTTCATATAAACTACTTACCAGAAAGGCAATGTGGTACGATGGAAAGAGTGGATTTGGTATCAGAAGACCTGGGGTTTGAATCTGGCTCAGATACTATTTCTGTGACTTTAGGTAAGTTACCTAATCTCTCTGGGCTCTAGTTTTCTCATTTAAAAATGGGGGGGGGGGGCATTTGGACTAAATAATCTTTGGGGTCTAATTCTAAATCAATTATTCTAGTTAAATGCTGCCTAATTACTACAGATCACAATAATATATAGTACTAAAATGTTTCATGACCTTTGTTACAACAAACAAGATACATTTCTACCTTCTGGAAGCCCAGCCATCTTCATAAAAAATGATAAAGGACTGAGTATCTTCTTTACTGATAGATTTTCTTTTCAAAGTTTTTGACGTTTGTGAACAAATTCTGGCTCTCTTGGTCAGTGCTCAAAAGATTTTGAGTAGTATGCACATTAATAATACCACCTACTTATTCTTATAGAGATTAGAGGCAATACATATAGCCTTTACTTAAGAGGTTCATGACAAAAGAAACAGGAGCAAGCCTAAAGGTTTTGAAGTTGGAACCTATTTTCTGATCTTGTAACTTTAGAATCCATGAAGTTGCTAAAAATGCAATTTTTAAGTACTATAATAAAAATGGACACTCTCAAAAGCATTTTTGGAAGACAAAATAAGTTTTAAAACATGCAGCTGTTATACAAACTGTAGCTGCTATCTTTGAGAGAAGCAAGAAAAAAAGAATGGAGGCACAATGATCGACCACAATTAGAGATATGACGATGAACATGCTACCTACTTCCTAAAAAAAAGGTGATGATCTCAGCAAGCATTACATATTTTTTGGACATGACCAATGTGAGAATTTGTAGGGGGTGGGGAGGAGAGAGGGGAAAGAGGTAAAGGGAAGGGGAAATAAATTTTATCAATTAAAATTTTTTTTAAAAGAATACAGGGAATAAAATGAAATTCTCACACTGCAGAATTTCAAATAACAAAGGATACAGAACATCTTCAAGTAAAAAAAACTAATGCTTAAAGGAGATAAATTTCAGGCATCTGCAATATTAATTTATGAAGAATACTTTGGTTCCTTAGTATAGTCGAACACAATCCATGATACTGCTTTTGTTTAAAGTTATATTGGAAATTTACCAGAACCTTGTAACTCAAAATGCAAAATGAGAAGAATCCAGTTAAATACTATAAATAATGAGAAATGTTTTCATTAGAGAACTTTTATCACAAAAGTAAAATGCAGCTTATTTTACCTTATGTTAAAAGGATGTCAAGTGAAACTAATCAAAGAGTGAAAAATATATCCGAGTTCAGCTTATGTGAATGGGAAGCAAAACTGCAAGTATCTGTATGGCTGTGATCTGATAAGTGAAGGAAACAAGGAAAAAGAGGAATTGTAGTTTTTTTTTTATGTGAATAAATTCTGAAAGACTTGAGAATCCTGTACACTGCTATTTCTTTACTGAGTACAGCACACACAAAAACAGAAACTAGCAACAGAATGTTTCCTTAGCAAGGTTAGCCAATGTATAACAACCTAGTTTAAAATTAAATGCATTTAAAATGAAAAGAACTGTCTATGTGCAATAATGCTTATGCTAGCAGGTAAATAATTCTTATTGACAAATTTTAATGGTATTACTCATGACCTATTTAAGTACCAGGAACTAAATTATTTTTGGAAACTACTTTGTTTCACAAAAATACAACAAAAGGTTAACAAAAAACAAAACCAAAAAAACCTCCAAAAACATAGGATCACAGG